TCCTCGATCTCACCAATATGTCTTATTATCCATTCTTCAGCTGTTGAATTGTTGTTGGCTCGTTGGCATATACCTTACTTTTGAGATGACCACAAAGGAAGAAATCTAAAGGCGTCAAGTCGTACGATCTTGGTGGCCAATTGACTTCTCTGTTTCGAGAGATGATGCGTCCTGGGAACTTCTCATTCAATTTCTATTTGAACGTCCATTTTCGTAATAGACTTCGATAACTTTAACACGTTTTTTGATTGTTAATATTTCCATGGTTGAAATTACCAAAGACTTAAGTTGTAAAATCTGAAAAAGAAAGAAAAAAATCATTTGACCCTTAAGCTTAATTCACATTTAAAATCGGTGCAAGTTATTGGAACATCCTTGGGTGTTTCATTAAGACGGATGAAAGTCAGCTTTAAATAAATCAGTGTTATTGGTGAAAATGTATTTATTTCTCTATTGGATCATGTTATTTAAGTCATGGCAGTTATTTGTGAAAAATAATATCACCCAAATGTCCGCCAAGGCTTCACTCAATGGTCAAAATTTATGATGGCGTCTTTGCATGGTTGCTTCTCGATCTCACCAATATACCTTAATATCTTATCCTTCAGCTGTTGAATTGTTGTTGGCTTGTTGGCATAGACCTTACTTTTGAGATGAGGAAGAATTAATTCTAAAGGCGTCGATCGTGGTGGCCAATTGACTTCGTTGTTTCGAGAGATGATGCGACCTAAGAACTTCTCATTCAAATTCTGTTTGAACGTCCATTTTCGTAATAGGCTTCGATAACTTTAACACTTTATGTGATTGTTAATCTTTCCATGGTTGAAATTGCCAAAGACTTAAGTTGTTAAATCTGAAAAAAAAAGAAAAAAAAAATCATTAGACGCTTAAACTTAATTCACATTTAAAATCGAAACAAGTTATTCGAACACCCTTTATATGTCAATCTAGTACTGCGCTTAAATTAAAAAAAGACTAGGTACCATAGCGAAGACCTCATTCGAACATTTACTATGAAAGTATTTATAGAAAAGGCACAGGGAGGCAACTTTACGTTGGTTGTTACTGAACTAGCTTGTGTGGATGGATGATAGAACAGAGACCGAGAACAATAGAAAGGGAATAAACGGTGTTCAAATTATGAGAAGTGGTGGAGAGCCATGATTTCCCTCAAGGATGAAAAGTGTTAAGGAAAATCGGAATGAAACTGTTTTATCTTTGCAATCAGAAAGTGACAGTTCTGGGTCACATCATGAACTAAAAACTCACGGGACATATTTTAGCCGGGGGGGGGTGTCACAGAGAAACTGCAAGCAAGCTACTTGACGAGTTTAGTGTGAACGGGTAGCGGAGCGGGGACAAACGTAGAAACATTGCTTAGAACCAAAAGGGACAGGAAGCTGTGGAGTCCTGATTGCCTACGTTCCGATGGGATATCGCAATAAAAGATTACCAAGAGATCGAAATAAAAAGGAAACATAATTAAAATCAGAAAGACACATTTCTGTGGAAAGCGGACTCGGAGAATTAAACACTCACGGGGCATATTGAAGGCAGAAGGCAGTACAGCGTCATCTACTTAATGGTTGTAAGAACAGATTATGAGGAGGACAGTAAGGAGAAAATATTGCTAAACTGATAGGAAGTTGTGGAGAGCCATGATCACCCACGGCGAATAAAATAATAAGAATAAGAAAACGTTGAAATTTCTAAGAGATATGAGGAAAGTGGGCATGGAGAATATAGTACTTACAGAATATAGTACACTTGATCAGTTCGGTAAAGTCAAATTGGCAGCTGATCTAAAAAAGGCCTATATTCTGTTGTTAACAGGAGCAAGGAATGGCTTGTGGATGATCCAAAACAAAACCTCCAGGACCCTTTCTTGGAGCATAACGATTTCCTCCAGGACCCTTCTTGGACTAACGATTTCCGCTGACATGAGGTGGAAAGATTATATTAAATCAATTGATAAGTCTGCTGCTAGAAAACTATGTCGTGCTAGAAATTTTTTTCTTAACTGAGGGGTTGATGTTTAATTCCCCTGCGGCTGGCCTTGTTTTTACTTCATTTGATTCTTGTGTCCATATTAAAATTTGATAGAATTTGTCATATTGGCTGTCTAATCTCGTACAGAAACTAATTCATCCACAAAAGAGATTTTTTACAGTGAACTAAAGAATATAAAACAAACACTTATTAATAATAGCTTTCCAAACTATATAGTTGATGAAGAAATAAGATGCTTTCAAGCAAATAGTACATAATACTGCTTCTACAAATCTCAAACATATTAATCTGCTATATCGTAATAAAATGCATACTAATTATAAACAATGAATCGATCAATCGGTCAATGAATGTCAAATGTTTCCTTGTAGGGAAACGGATAGTATTACCATTAACATTAGAGCCGAGGAGAACAGATACTACACTTTGATCCCATCTCGATTGCCAGGGAGTAAAGAAAAGCATAAGTCAAGCAACACTGGATGCTCGG